CTTCGATAAGGTCACTCCCTCGATCAGGCATCTTCGGGGTTCTCCATTTTCTACTCAATCGAGATCAAAGTCTCTGGCTTAGCCTTTAAGGGACTCCACAACTTGGCAAGGCCTTTAGACCTTATAGTAGTCAGCTCAAAATGCCAAAAGGAAATTCCACAGACTGGGCGACTTAAACGACAGAAAGTTATTCCTCACAGTTCTGGAGGCTGGAAGTCCAAGGTCAGGGTACCAGTGTGGTCGCATTTGGTGAGAGCGCTTCCTGGCTTGCTTCACTGTGACCTTACATGGCCTTTCTTCTGTGTGTGTGGAGAGAGAGAAAAAGAGAGATGTCTCTTCCTCTACTTATAAGGACACCAATCCTATCAGATTAGGGTCCCAGCCCTATCGTCTCATTTAACCTTAATCACCTCCTAAAGGACCCATCTACAAATACAGTCATATTGGAAATTAGGGCTTCAATCTATAAATTTGGGAGGTCCACAGCAGACCTCAAGTGTGTGTTGAACATGTACTATGTTTTGGGCTCTGGTCTAGGGGTTGGAGATAGAGCCAAGTGAATAGTGGGTAGGCAGAAAACGATATAGATACACATATAAATCTAAAAGATATACACATGAACATATAAATACATATACACTCACAATAATTGCAAGGAATGGTAAGTGCTATGAAGGAAAATATAGCATAGTAACAATAGTGAGGAATCAGACAGTCACAGGGATGGAGCACTGTTTTAACAAATGATCAGGAAAGATCTCTAATACAGCAACCTTTAAGCAGATGGAGACACAGAAAATAACTTAGAGTTCGACCCCTGGAATTCAATCCTTTGGATCAGGAGTCTGCAAACTTTTCCTATAACGGACAAGATAGGAAATATCTTTGGTTTCATGGGCCATACAATGTTAGTCTCCATCACGACTACCCTTTGAGTTGTATCTCAAAAGCCATCACAGACAATACAGAAATAAAGGAGTGTAGCTGTGTGCCAATAAAACTTTATTTAGGGACTCTGAATTTGAACATCATATAACTTGCATGTGTCATGAAACATTATTCTTCTTTTGTTTTTTTTTTTTTTAATTTAACAAGCTTGGGGGAAAAAAAAAAACATTCTTAGGCTGCACTAAAACAAACGATGGACCAGATTCGGCCCATAGGCCACAGTTAGCAGACCCCTGCTTTCCAGCACACAGCTGTGAGGTCTTCTTCCCAGCTGTGGGATGGGAGTGGGGACCACCACAGGGCCTGGCACACAAGTCCCTGGCACACGGCAGGTGCTCCATAGTATTCACTGAAGGAGAGAAAGAAGGAACAGAAGAAGAGAGAAGAAGGAATCAGGGTATCGAAACCCCTACAAACCCCTACAAATTCCTGGCTCCGAGCCCCAGGCTGACGTGACCTCACCTCACTGTCTCCTCTTAGGCTGCAAAACCATTTCATTTCCTGGGAACCTCTGCAGGCTCTGATGCAAATAGGTGTTGACACAACCATTGAAATGCCCACAAACTCAGAGCCTGCTTTCCGAATCTAAGAGCAGGCAGCCCTCCCACAGAGCCCACTAGATCCAGTCACGGTCTCCTGTCACCCGAAAAGCTTCCATTGTCCACCCCAGACACAAATCCAGAAAAGGACACATAAAGCCACAGCCCAAAGCCCACTTGTGCCCTGTCCCCGGCATAATAACTCACAAGTGCCACTAATCTGCATTTTTAATCAGAGCACTTCAGTCCCCACTCAGAAAAGTCATTTGCATCCCCCATGCAGGGCCCCTGACTGCTATATTAATCTCCCATTTGTCCCCTCCTGAGTCATCTAATATTACTGCTGGCTAATTAAAACATCAAAGCCCCAAGTACAACAGCCCTGCCTAGGCCTCCTAATGCTGGGTTTCAAGTGTGCAGTTCAGCGCAACCCAGGCTGGGGAGTGGCAGGGCTGGCGCTCGGGCCCCCAATTACCGGGCTCATAATGACCACCCCTTGCACATCTGGAACCTCAACAGATGGCCTCTTTTATTAGGCCTGTTAGCTTGCTCCCTCTGCTCCCTGCCAATCAAGGCTGCCGGCTGCCCACCCACCCACCGGCCACACGCACACCTCTTCCTCCTGCGTCGTCTGCCCTCCCGCCCTTTCCACAGGTCATGGGGCTCAACCCCTCTGCCAGGACCACCCCTGTTATCCTCCCTGGGATTCCAGCTGCTCCCCGGCCTTCAGGGCATAAATGTAGGTGGTCCAGAGAGTTTCTAAACTGGCTGAGTAGGGAGGATGGCTGGGTGCCTCCCACATGGGCAAGGTAGGACTGATTTTGTTCATGAGTACAGGTTGTCCACACCATCAGAGGAATTTGTCACGACAAATTCCAGATGTGACTTCCATCCAGATGTGACTTCCATCACCTGCATATCTGCTAGAAGAGACAACAGTGGAGACAGAATCCTAAAGAAGTATTTAGAATGCCTTTCTGGGCCTTCAGAGGAAGCGGGGTTGTTGGTACGTGGCTACACATGGGGACGCAAGTAAAATAACTTAGACTTTGGCAGGAAAGGAAGTGCAAATGAAGGGAAGAACTCATCCAAATCCCTCTCCTCCTGCTCCCAGTATGGTAGTAGGATAGTAATAATACTTATAGCAACAGCCGTAGCAGTAATAATACTAGATACTGTACTAGCATTAGCAGAGTAATAACACCAATTGTAACAGGCAATGGCTAACATTTAGGAGGTGATTTCAGTTGTACAAGTGAGAGACGATAGTGCCTTGGTTAAAGGAATGGATGGATCTATTTAGAAAGCTAAGATGGATAGGGGTGGGGAGGATTAGGTTCGGGAAATAAAAAGGATGATGTCCAGGACAGCTCCCACCTGTGGCTTGTACAGGTGAGGGGGTGCTGGTGCCCAGCACTGCGATAGGAACCACTGGTCCGGCCAGGGAGGAGTGGGAGGCCATGAGTCATGGCACCCTCCATTTGTTCTCTGCTTTCTCTGCCTGCACTGGTCTAGAGCTATCTTTAATCATGGTATGCTGTTCACCTGCCTCCTCTTTCCCAGACTCCAGTGTGGCAGCATGGATATTTTAGTACAGAGCTGGCCACCAGCCAGAAGGGTGACTATGATATGCCCTTCACCTCAGGACCTTTGCACAAGCTGTTCTCTCTACCTGCAAGACCCTGCTCCCCCTTCTTTGCCTGGTGAATACCTACTTGTCTTGACTTAGAAGTTAAATGCTCTGTCTGGAGCAGGTGCCTCTTTTATGGGCTTCCACAGCCTCCTATATACTGTCAGCGTCCCATGTGATTGCACCCATTGCTCTCAATTATAGCAGTTCATTCAATTGTGATTCCGCCTCGCCCCCCCAATCCATCGGATTGTGAACTCCATGAGGACAGAGATCACATGTGTTTAGTTTGTCACTGCAGCCCTGGCCCTTGCTACCTTGCTTAGCACATAGGCCATACTCAATGAACATGTGTTCAATGAATGAGTAAATGATGGCCAAGAAGCACAGTTGTCAAGCAGTCAAGGGCATGGTTTGAGAGCAAGACTCCTGGCTCCAGCTTACTAGGTCCGTTAATCTCCTGGACAACTTAATTAACCTGTCTGTGCCTCACCTGTGAAACGAGGAGGATAAGGTTTTGCTCGGCATGTACTAAGTGCTCATTGAAGGGTAGCTTTCGGGAGCAGTCCTTCAAGGCTCTCTGTGGCTTCTGTCCTGGACTTAGCCCATTTAATGGTAATTCACAGCTCCCTCACCCACCTAAGGCCCTCCAGGCTGATGAGATGTGGACCCTACCTCCCTTCTGACTTCATCTTGCACTTGCCCTGATTCATATCCTCCAGCCACACTGGCGTCCTCTCTGACCCTGTAAACTGAACAAGCTCATTCATCTCTACCTCAGGACCTTTGCACTTGCCTTTCCCTTCTCCACTTAATCACTTAATCACCTCCCTCTGCTTCACATCCTTAGCACCACCTGAAATTCTATTGTTCACGTATTTGTTTACTTCCTGTGTCCACTTCTCCCGCAACAATGCTCCAGAAGGGCAAGCGCCCTGTCTGTCTTGTTCACCACAGTGTCCGTAGTGCCCAGTAGCTGTCGTGTCAGGATGTGCCCACTGCCTCTCCCTTACGGTTGCTGAGTGACTGATCCTTGTCCAGGGCATGGGCACACCTCCGCCCGGGCAGGTAGACGACGACTCAGAATCACCCATGGCAGAATGTGATCCTTATCCATGAGTCTGAAATGGAGAGGCCACGTCAGTTAGCCCAGGACTTATCCTCCTTCACCTACTGGACAATTTTATTACAGACGTGAACACAAATGGTGGACTGAAGGAGTTCAAGACAGAGGGAACAGTATGAGCAAAGGCCCGGAGGCAGGGTCATGCTTGGCATTTCTGAGAAGCAGAAAACCTGAAATTTGAGGAAAATGTTCGATGCTTCAAACCTTTCTAATTTAAACCTTCTGCTTTCTCAGTGCTTGCCGGAAATACTGAGTTTGGGTGTAGCCGGAAGGCCCAGAAAGCCAAGTAACTTGACCCAGCTTCAGGCTTTTTTTTTTTTTTTTTTTTATGTTTCCATCAACTTATTTTCTGATGCAGCCTCAGGTTTGATTGCTCAGCCTAGAGGACTGTTATCCTTCGGAGAGACTGACGGCATCCTTTCAGTCATTTATTCATTCAACAAACATTCATTGAGTCCTCGCTATGTGCCAGACCCCGTGCTGGACACCAGAGAGACCATCTTTGAATTCCTGACCCTGCTCCCCAGAACAGAACCCAAAAGGCTCTTCCATGGCACCTCATTCTGCACAGCTGGAGGAACCAGGTTCTCAGCCACGTTGCACAGGCCAACCAGGGAGAATCCGCGTCTCTCTGTGCAGACAGCTGGTAACTTGAAGCAGATTCCAGGAAGAGCAACGCCTCTTCCTGTCCCACTAGAGACAGTTTTCCAATGTTCTCAAGACCTGCCTAACATCCCGTCTCCATTCTCTCCTCCAGCCCCCCGCCTCGGGAAAACAGTCCCCCACAAAGAATGGCAGCCCCTCCAAGTGCCCCCGCTTCCTCAAGGTCAAGAACTGGGAGACTGACGTGGTTCTCACTGACACTCTCCACCTTAAGAGCACATTGGTGAGTATTTCAAGAGGGCGCAGACCAGGATTTCTCAATCTCAGCACTTTCCACATTGGGGGCTGGAGAATTCTTTGTTATAGGGATTATCCTGTGCATTGGAGGCTGTTTCGCATCACCCCTGGTCTGTACCCACCCAATGTCAGTAGCCCCCCTGATGCTGTGACTACCAAAAATGTCTCCACATATTGCCAGTTGTCCCCTGGGTAGAAAATTCATATCTGTTTGAGAACTACTTTTGGACACTTACTCACGCATGTAAACACTTTCGTTTGTGTGCCACGGACCCAAAAGAATCTAAGGGGAGTCGCTGGTTCCAAATGCATTCTCTTTGTCTCTCACAGTCTCACCACTGATGGAGTATTGAGAAAACTCTTTTGTACTTTCACAGTGCGACCTCTAAATTTTTATATCATACTTTTAGCCGTTAACAATGTGTTGTTTTAAAATTTTGTCGAAAACGGGCCTCTCAGAGGAATGTTGTGTCAGTTATCTAGCTATCGTAGTGTAACAAATTGCCCCCAAATTTAATGGCTTAAAAACAACAACCACTTATTATTTTCCAAAGTCTGTGGATTGTCTGGGTGGTTCTGCTGATCACAGTTGATCTCATACATCTGTAGTCATCTGAGCAGTCAGCTAAGGTCCAGGATGGCCCTGGCTGGGCTAACTCAGCTCTGCTCCATGTAGTCTCTCATCCTCCAGCAAGCTAGCTCGGCCTTGTTCACGTGGTAGTCACAGGGTACTGAGAGAGAAACATGCAAGATCTCTTGAAGTCTAACCATGACTTACGTCACATTCTTTGGGCCAAATCAGCCCAGATTCAAGAGTTGAGAGAATAAGTGCCAACTCGTGCTAGAGAGTTGCTATAAAGTCACATTGCACAGGGCGTAGATACAGAAAGAAGAATAATTGGGGCTGATTTCTTTTTTTGCAATCAACATACCGTAGATGTGTTTAAATGAATTACTGGAGCCACTCTACTATCTCCTTTTTGATCAACATAGGATCAGAAAATATTTTGGGATTCAGTAACAGTGGTTCTGATTCCCAGGGAACGACAGTTGAGTAGAGCAAACACTTTCAGAAACTTAATATGCTGTTTGTCATCCCTTACCTTGGCTGATGACCACATCCAACAATGGTCAGAAGCTGGTATTTGAGAAATCTCCTTTGGGAATTAAAGGCCAGGTAAATTCCATCGTGAATATCAGATCCAGGTCTACAGCCCCAAACCTGCCATACTTGTGCAGAACCAAGCAATAGCCCAAACATCTTTTTTCCTTCCAGGAAACGGGATGCAGCGAGCACATCTGTATGGGCTCCATCATGCACGTGGCTCAGCAGGTACGAAGGCCCGAAGACGTCCGCACAAGAGAACAGCTCTTCCCTCTTGCCAAAGAGTTTATTGATCAGTACTACTCGTCAATTAAAAGGTAAATTTATGTTGACTCTGAGGAGCCTGGGGTAAGTTACTGAGTACTGGGGACGAAGATTTCAGCTCCAACTTTGCAGATAGTTGAACTAAGGCCTGAGCATAAGGCCTCTGCCTGCCCTACACAGAGGTTGAAAACTGTTGGCCCAAGGGCCAAATCTGGCCCCCTAAAATGTTTTTATTTGGTCTGCAGAGTGTTGCTTAAATTTGAAACATTTCAAGCAATTTCACACCTAGTTATATATCCTAAAGAAACTCTCACACTGGAGCACAAGAAGACATGCATAAAAATGTCCACTGAAGCATTATTATAATAGGGAAAAAATAAAATTAAAGGACCAACTGGAAATCACAACTCCAGGAGAATCTGTAAAGAAGGTAGTGTTTTCTGTGATGGAATGCTATACAGCCGTAAAAAATGAATGGATTAGCACTCTGCATGTTCATGGGAATGAAGCTCAAAAATGACTTAGAGCAAAAGAAAGAAAGGACAAGTTATAAAAGGAGACATTCAGGACATCTCCATTTATATAAAAATTTTAAACATGCAGAATAACACTGTCCATGACTTAGAGGATATATACACATGTGGCAGAAGTATATAAAGCATGAGAATGGTAAATGCCACATGCAAAATAGCAGTCACTTCTGGGGAGAAAGTAGGCTGTGATAGGGAAGTAGTCCCCAAGGAGTTATAATATTATTTCTTTTTTATTTATTTTTCTTAGGCTTGGGGCATGAGAGTTCATTATATTATTCCCTATACCTTTTTGAAAGTCTGAATTTTTTCATAATAAATTTTTTTTAACTTTCTGAAATTAT